TCCGAGCTCGGAGACAACCCAGTTAAGATGCGATATCAATATTTTATGATATCACTATGATATCAATGTGATATCAGAATGATATCAAAACCTTCTCAAGCTTCATTATGGTATCATTATAATATCATTATGATATCATTATGATATCATTATGATATCATTATGATATCATAGCTTGATATCATAGCTTGATATCATTATGATACAATATCACTATGACATCATTATGATATCATAGTGGTATCATAACTTTGAGAAATAAACTTTATTTATAGACGACTTTCATATATTAGTTATAAAGCACAGTAAAAGTCATATTTTTCTCTTTTAATGTCCAAATAGTAAATTTTGATTTATAAACTCATATTATGAATCATTATGGTATCAAGAATTTGTCATGCTATGATGTGAAATACAAGTTGCTAAACATTCATACTACTTTGCCGCAAAACGTCTTACAAGAATTGATTATTACTTTCTAGATGGCTAAAAGATATGCGAATTAGTATTTTAAAAAATGGTAAGTAAAAGTGAATAAAACTTTAAACTTGTTTTATTGTTAGTTGCAAATTAAAAAAAAATTAAAAACTATATTGAATTTAAAGGAATAAAATTAACGAGAAAAATAATTGTTTTTGGTACCTTATTTTTAATACGAATATGTTGCAGAATATATTAGTCGGAGAGAATTACGAGTTGCCCCGGACAAAATAGTATAAAGCTGAAATTTTGCAAAGAGGAAGTAGACTGTCTCCAGGGGTGGATCTAGGGTACGTCTAGTACATCTGTTCAAAAGACGTCCAAAACGTTCAAAAGGCGTTCAAAATACGTCCAAAACGTGTATAAGTCGTTTAAAAGACTTCTTTTTTACGTCCGTGTCCACTGGAAAGTGAATTAAATTTAAGTTTAATTACCTTTATACAAACAGTTATTGTAAAAAAAAAAATTCGCTTCTTGTTTAGAGTAATTAAAGTTGCTTTTTGTTTAGAGCGGTAAATAAAAATATCTTTTTTAACTGAAGGTTAAAGTAATAATAAATAAATAATATTTAATTAGAAGAGTCAATGGATGTACCCAATATTATTTTCTTAAACGATAAAAAACGTTTTTAAATTTTTGTTTTTTTTTGGTATAAAAGTAAAATATTAATTTCTTTACTTATAACAATTTTTGGACGTACCCAAAGTAGTAAACCCTAAGTAAAATCTTAGTCAAAATCCATTGTTTAGCTATAATCAGGCGGTGAAATATATTTTAATAGTTATTCCATATCAAAATAAAATAATGGATGTACCTAACATTATTTTTTTCTGTGATTGAGCTTTTTACTTAGTTTAGTTTTCAATATTTAAATTTTAAGTAATTGATTTTATTTATGAAAAAACACTGTCGGACGTACCTTCAAACTTTCACCAATTCAATTATGATATTTAAAATGTCTGTAAATATGCGTAGTTTTCTTAATAAATCTAGTGTTTGTAACATTTCTGTGTTTATTTCCGAGATTGTTTTAAGTTTTTTGTAAAAAATATTTTGGATTCCTTTTTATATATCATGAATTGTGATATGGTGGTGCTAGAGCAATTGATGGCCACACTAAAGATTTGTCCACTTGTATTTTAATTCTAAATGAAAAAGCTGTATATGCTGATTGCAACAGCCATAGACTTAATTTAGTTATTTGTGCTTAATACAATGTGCAATATGTCAAGTATCTTTTTAGCACTATGTCTTGTTTTGCAATATGACAAGTATCTTTTTTGGCACACTTTAATGAGGTATCATTTTCTAACTTGTTCCAGGCAACAAATTTAAGAGGAGCATATTGAAAGTACCGTTCCATATTAAACATGTTGGGTGGAAAAGGTTTATTTTTTATTTTTGGATAGTTTTCAAGAACTTTGTGCTAGTTCCTATAAAAATCATTTCAGAAGTTCATCTGTATCTTTTAGTGAATTTTATGAAACAGATCTACTGAATTCCCATGCTTTAACCTTGTGAGCTTCATTTATGTGAAGCCTTTTGGTTTAATTAAAAAAGGTAGTTTCAATAATAATATTACTGAGTTGTTAAAAGTAATAAATTTTCCTAGTTGTAAAAACATTAAAAATTTTTATGCTACTTTTCCACTAACTTCATGTGAATGTGAGTAGGCATATTATTAATTTTGGCGCCTCAAATATATATGTTAAGCACCCTGGTATAGTGCCAAACAATAATAACACCGATTTGGTGTTATCATTTTTATATATAAAGTGCTAAGTTGTATTTGTTATATTTTTTTTTTTTTTTTTTTTTTTTTTTTTTTAATTTTGCTTACATTAAAATGTCAAAGTACAATTATATATGCCATATATATCGTGTTACAATTAAATTCGTGTTACAACATTTATCAACTAAATTAAAATAAGAAAAAACACGGGCATACATATATAAATATAAGCATATATACACATACAAATGCGTAGATGCGCACATACATAAACTGCTTACAATGAAACATAAGCTAGGATCTGAAAGAAGATCACAAGATCTTGTCATCAGAACCTTATAAAGCACAAACAAGCAAAATAAATACCAGTATAAGATACTAAAAAATAAAGTAAAAATTAAAATAAAGTACTGAATTCAAGTTGTATAATAATTTTCAAAATATTAGAAGTATCTGTGTATATTATCAAGTGAAATAATACATTTTTTTAGATTGAGCTTGAAAAGGTAAAAGGAAGTTGGTAAATCAAAATTCTGCAAAACTATATTATTCCATAGGTGGGGTCCACGATAAGCAATGCAAATTGATTAAATTTTGTGTGACAAAATGGTTCTTTTAAAAAGTTTATGTTTCTCATGTCGTATTTGTTGTTAGGTTTGAGTTTGAAAGTATTATTAAAAACGGTAGGAGATTGATTATTTCTCCATAGATATACAAAACATAAAACTTTAAATACATTGAGTTCAAATAAATTTAACAATCTCATTTCAGTAAAAAGAGGTTTTGTGTGTGTAAAACGATCGGCATAGTTAATTATGCGGATCGCATGATTTTGACGACGATAAAGAAGTTTAAACTTACTTTTTACAGTACTCCCCCAAGCAGTGTTGGCATAATTTATGTAACTGTGGATAAAAGAGTAATAAAGTTGTTTTAAGCATTTTGGCAAATGCTTTTGTTTTTTAATTGATTTTTTTCAGTTTTTATGTTTTAATCAGCAAGATTTATTAAAATGAATGATTTAAAATTTTATTTTTTTTAACAAAATGTGGCATTAAGAATGCATCTCTAAATACCTCTTTTTATAATTTAAAATTGCATATTTAATATACAATATTTTATTATAATTTGTGCTATTTTATAATATATTTGTTAAATTAGAAATATAAAATTTTGCATTGTGTAATTTATTTTAATAATGGTAATGTAAAAGTATAGTTTTTAATAATAGAACTGTAAATAATGTGTAAATATAAAATTTTATAATCTAAAAGTAAAGTGCCCCGGTGATAACCTTGCATATTTTTGGTTGAAGAAAGTTTTTTTTTTAGATTAACTTAATAGACCTCTTTTAATAATAGACCTCAGTTAATCTTGATAGATAAACCGATGAGGTATTCCATGGTGGGGTGTATGTATTTTTTTGCTTTTTAACTAACGACTCGAGACACCAAAAAAAAAAAGTTCCTCAGTATTTCCAAAATTTCAACTATAGTTCAAAACTTTCTCAATGTGCTTACTTAAATGCTTGTAAGATATCTTTAAGGGGACGGGGTGAGAACAACCTTAAAAAGGTTTGGGATAAAAAAACATACCAGATAAGTTATTTTTGCACATTTTTAGTTATCTTAAAGACCTGTTGCGACAGAACACGCATAACAGTACAACAGTACTAGTCCATCGTAGTTGTAGAAGACAGTTTGTGGATTGTCGCAATGATCAATCATTATCTGTACCAAACAAGGAACTATGATCCTCATTTAAAGAGATATTTGATTGGAAATCAAAATGATTTCTTTGTACTAAAAAAGTAGACCATAAACATTCACCGATTACTAAAGTTGAGACCATACCATTGATTAACAAAATGATTGAACGTTCTTTGAATAGAAAGGACAATTGGGGGAATGCTGCACATTCTCGTTTGATGTCTTGTCATGATTTTGTAGCGGAAGAAGCCATCTATCATATTTCGTGTATGAACAACTTCAGACTTAAAACTAAAAGCGATAACCAACGCGGACGCCCATTAGATCTCACTAAGTTTGAAAATTTTGAAAAACTCTGTCTCTGGTTAGAGGAAGGAACTGACGGCGAACTTTATACTCTTTCTGGTTTCCACATTAAGATGAAAGAACTTAGTAATGGTTATCCATATTACTCAACAAAATCTTTAAAACAAAAGTTACTTGAATATTATGGTGATCATATTTTTTAGGAGAACTCTCTGGTAAATCTAATTTAGTTTGTTTCAAAGATATGGCTTCTTTTATCATATCAAAATTTCATAAAAAGAATATTCACAATAAAAATGATATTATTGCTGCCGCTGCAAGTATAATTAAGAGCGAAATCAGAGAAATGGATGTAAATAAATTTGTGTATCCGTCACTAGAGGGTGATATTGAATATGAACTCAAATTGGTTCCAAAGAGTTTACAGCTACTCCTAAGCCATTTAATTTTTGTAAAGCTTCAACAAATTTTGTTTAGGACAAAGCATTGCTCAAGTTTCGCGACCAAGATTTATGATAGCACTAATTCCATTAGGAATTGGCGTAGATATTGATAAATCTTTTGGAACAAAATGGCTTGTGGATCACCTTTACAAATTTGGATTTTCAATATCCTTTTCATGGAATGGGTTTAATATTAATATGTTCTTCTTCTAAACACAATTATGAAAGCATAACACGTTTGAAACAATAGTCTATTAAAAATTTAGCTGATGTGTCTTTAAAAATAACACCTTACCATGGATCAAGCTATCACGGTTTATTAAACATAAGTTTTAAACCAATAAAAGAAACTGTATCTTAAGTATTTCGGCGCCCGAAATGAATCTTATTTGGCATGTGGCATGGTTTTTTAGTTCAAAAACTAATCCTCGACCAAACTGGTCAGGTTATATGATGCATACTACATCACAATCAACAACAACTTATGAAAAAGCGTCCATCAAGATTTTACTTATTATTGAATTAAATTCTTCAGATGAAACGTGCATATATTCTACACTGTTGTTCATTATTGATGAAGCTAATAAATATAAAATAGTTACTGTCTGCGTTACGTTTGATCAATCTTTGTGGCAGAAAGCGCTCGGTGTTATAAAAGATCAGAACCTCAATATAATATGCCGACTTAGAGGATTTCACACAATGATGAGCTTTCTTGGCAGCATTGGAAAACTAATGACAGGAAGTGGCCTGGAAGAGGTTTTAGAGCAAGTTTACTCTGAAGATACGGTAAAACATATCCTTAAAGGAAAAGCTGTTGCAAGAGCCATTAGAGGTCACATGTTGGTCCAGAGTGTGTTGATGAGTCATATTATAGATATTTTAGTTGACAAATCAAAACTAGATATATCCGGACTTGAATGCACTTATAAAATGGCAATGCAAAATGTTATGAACAAGGAAGAGTTAATCAGATTTGGTAATACAGATGCTTTCAAAAATATAGAATGTGCTATATTAACCGATACGAAAAAAAAGTCACATGAATCACGAACAGCAAAACTTTGGATCTTGTACATATACTATATTGGAATCATTAAGGAATTTTTAGTTGCAGAGAGAACTTGTAACTGGTACTTGCATCTTCAAGCAATCTCAAAAATGCTAAACTTATTTGCTGCATCAGGAAATTCAAAGTATGCCAAGTCCTCTAGGTTATACTTGAAAGAAATGCAACATCTTTCAGAAACAAATCCGTGGTTACACCAACAATTTTTAGATGGTTGTCACGCATTGCGCCAATCTGCAAGGTATTGTGCTGGCCTATCTTCTGATCTTGTAATTGAGCAGACCCCGATGCTTTCTTTAAAATGCAATGGTGATTTAACTAGAAGTAGAGGATTTGATAAAAACGTATGCAATCTATGGATAATGAGCAACTGTTGTTCTGCATGTGTTCATGAAGCAATGTATAAATTATCTGGATTAGGCATCGGAGTTATGGAAAACAATAAAGAATGGGTATTAAAAGATTAGTATGTGATTATAAACAGTGTGAGTTGTTTTATGTTGTTATATGGTTTGCTGTCAGAAATCCATTCAATATTAATGATAAAAATCTATATTCATTATCTACGGGTGTTGTGTCAGTGAATAGTGAAGATCTTGTCAATTGTGAAGAGGCTGAGAACATATGCGTTCCTCTACAAACTTGTCTCGACGGTCTTAAGTTCAATGAAATAAAGTTTAAAAAAAAGAATACGATTTTCACTTTCGATGTTTTGGCCAATAGCGTAAAACTAGACAAATTAACTAATTGTTGTGTCGATTCAACACTCCTTTTTAATAGGCTTGCAGCAATTGCAGAAAGAGAGGATGACGTTGAACTATACTTTGATTATGAGCTCTCTTATTTAACACAATCATTATTTAAAAATAACCTGAAATGCTGAAAGCAAAATGCTGAAAGCAAACAAATCCTCTTTGCACAAAGTGGTTCTTCCTGACAACGAAATTAAATCAAGTACAAATGTTAGCTTGTGCAAATATGTTCTTGAAGGTGGTTCCTTACTCCATAGAGTTCTTTGGAACATGGTATGAGATTTATAGAAGTTGTTGAGACCTACGTCAGCTATATAAGAAAAAATTATGCCACCACTTATATTATATTTGATGGTTATGATAAAGGGTCTTCAATTAAATCTAATTAACACACCAGAAGAACAAAATGCAAAGGATCTTCCCAAAATCTTGTCATAAGAGAAAATAATCAGGTTCCGTACTGACAAGAGCGTTTTCTATCGAGTTCACACAACAAAGCACAATTAATTTTACTTTTGTCAGATTATCTTAAACAAGATGGTCAAGAAGTATATATTTGCAAAGGGGATGCTGACACGAAAATTGTCTCTAAATCGTTGGAAGTTGCAAAAGAAATTTCACCATGCATTGTTGTTGCCAATGATACGGATATAGCAGTGATGCTAGTTTATCATTGGAAAAAGGAATTAAATGAGGTTTTTTTATATCATGAAAGCAAAAATTCTGGAGTATAAAAGATGCTCAATCTCGAGTAATTTTAGAGAACATCTGTTATCTCGAGTAATGGATTTTAGAGAACATTTGTTATTTGTTCACGCATGGTCAGGATGTGACTCAACATCTTCAATAATAGGAAAAGGAAAACCTAGTTTTTTAAAATTACTTCAAAAATCGAATAGTTTACAATCAATATCTGAAATTTTTTCGGATTACTGGGTAACCAAAAAAGAAGTTGGAGAATCTGTTGCAAAGGCTTTCATTGAACTTTTTGGTGGAAATGAAGAATCTTCGTTAAGGAAAATGTGGTTGGCATCTGAACTTTTAATTTTAGTTTTTTGTCATTCATTTAAATTGAAAAAATATAGATTTAGATTGAGAAAATAATTAATTAAATAATATTATTTCTTAGATATTTGAAATATAAACAAATGGTTTGTGAAGAATTTATTAGACCAGAAAAATTACCACCCACAGAGCGTGCTGCTTATTTTCATGGTCTTAGAGTTCGTCTCCAGGTTATTGAATGGAAAATGCTAGATGAATCTTTCAACTTAGATCCAAAAGAATGGGGATGGAAATTAGATAATGGTTGTCTTCTTCCAATACCAACAGACAAAGATGTGGCACCACCAAATATATTAAAAGTGATTCGCTGTGATGTAAAACTTTGTCAAGAAATATGTGCGAAACTAATATGTGTTCTTGCAGGAAAAACGGATTAAAATGTATGCCTGCATTCGGTGGCTGTCACAGGCAAGATTGCAGTAATAAAACAGTAAATTTTATTTTTTTAATTTATTATATGCACATAATCTTCTTAAAATATATAAGTTGTTTTTGTGATACAATTGTTTTACATTTTAATGATTTTGAAATTGAAGAAGATTCAAGTGATGAAGTTGAAAACGAGAGAAATTTATTTGATGATTTGTTTAAAAAAAAAGTAAAATATCGGACATTGACATTTTTAAGAAATTTACATAAAAGTCTCAAAGTTATTTAATAAGAATATATTTCTTTTCACAATTTTTTTTTCTCATTTAAAGTTACGCACAAACAAAAGTTATTATGCTTTGAAAACAAAAAAATATAGTATTTAAAAAGTTTTTATACTTTTCAAACGTAAATAATTAAAAAAATAATTGTTTTCAAGTAATAGTTTTTATATAAATATTGATCAGCATAAAATTTTCTATCCAATGGTGTATAGTTTATGATATTTTGGTGCTGTCAAAATTGACTCTTTTTTTTTATTCCAAACTGCCCCAAAAGGTATGTTCCGGTTGCGCAATCAACAGGGCTTTTTTTTACGTTCATCCAAAGACTGTCCACTTTCTCTCTGCAAAATTTCAGCGTTATACCATTTTTGTCCGGGTTCGACCCTACTTTTCGCTAATTCTCTCCTATTATATTGATAATATGCCACATCACCCACGGCTGTTTCACCTAATGTAAAATTGGGCATTACGTCAGGAAAAATAATTTCCGCATAAAAAGAGTTTAGCAAAAATAATTTCCGCATAAAAAATTTCGGCATATAAAGTATAAAAATTCAATAACTTTAAAGTAATGGTTTTTTTTTCTATAAACGCTTTTGTGTTCTAATAAAAAAAAATGAAACATCTATCTTTCCTTGTTAAATTAATATTCTGATTAAACGGAATAAAAATAAAAGTTGTAAAAATATTGCTAATGATTTGGGATCACTTTTCTGTTTTTTGCGTATTTTAAGAAAAACCTGTCTTGTGCTAATCAAGATTAGATATTTTAAGCTACATGCTTTATGTTTGAAATTTAACGAATGTCTAGTTTATCAGATTTTTGGTGAACATGGATGAAAAAAATAATTTAAGTTGGATTTTTTAGCTTTTATATTTTTGTTATTTCTTGTTTTATATGAAAAACGTTATATTTTCGTTAAGTTCACCAAATTATTGAAATTACAACCCTATATGCACATGAAAATCAAAAAATTACTTTCTGTACTTCTAACTAAAACGTTTTCAACCTTGGCAAAGTTTGTTGCTTTTAGCAACAAAATTTTTGTTTATATTTTAAAGCAATGACCTATCTTTAAATGCGTTACTTCCCAATTCACTATTTAATAAAATTTATTAAAACAGCTTTTTTAGCGAGACAAATTTTAGTGTATAAATAAAACAAACTTTGGCGGTTTTTTCTTTTTTCATCTTTTTTCAATTTTCATTCATATAAAAACGACTACTAATACGAACTATAATAAATTGTTGGATGGGGCATTATTAGTAAAACCTTGTTCCAGAAGAAGCATGAAGCGCCAACATTTAACATAAGAATTCAGTAAGATTATGAAGAGTATTTTACATATGAAATGGAAATAAAACTAGTATCAATTGCATGCAAAGATCGTTTATTACTTATAGAACATATATAAATATATTAACTAAAAAAAATATTATTTATGTCAATCCACCAAAACGAGTTAACAAATTATTTAAATTGCCTATATTGTTATGTTTATTTATAAAAAATGTGTTATTTTTCCACAGAAAAGTGTTAATATTGTAATATTGATCTAAGTGTCAGGAAATTATTCTAGGACCGAAAGCAAAAATAATTTGAAACTCTTTTTGTTTGTTCAAAATCTTTAAAAAAAAAAAAATATTTTGCGATTTTTTTATTTCGCCTATTAAAGTGCCTGTATCAGTTCGCATTCGGTGTAAATAATGTTAATATGTTTTATAATTGGTCTAACTATGTTTGTATTACATATTAGCCAAAAGAAATATAAATTTTCTGATTATTTTTGCTAAAAAGTACTATTAAAATTTCGAAATTCTGCCAAGTTCGTCATTTTGCGCGTTCATATAAAAATCATAGCAGCCTTAGATTATTATATTGAATGATAAAATATAAAAAATTTAATCGGTGTTCATATTCTTTTTACAGAACGTATATATATATATATATATATATATATATATATATATAAATGTATATATATATATATATATATATATATATATATATATATATATATATATATATATATATATATATATATATATATATATATATATATATATATATATATATATATATATATATATATATAATTATGAATGAAAATGTTGCTGACCCATACCAAACTCTCAGTCGAAGTATATATATATATATATATATATATGTATATATATATATATATATATATATATATATATATATATATATATATATATATATATATATATATATATATATATATATATATATATATATATATATATATGTATATATATATATATATATAATTATGAATGAAAATGTTGCTGACCCATACCAAACCCTCAGTCGAAGTATATATATATATATATATATATATATATATATATATATATATATATATATATATATATATATATATATATATATATAAAAACACAAATATACTCATCAAAGCAGAGACTTTAAAAAAAAAAAAAACTATTACTATTTTATTAAAAAACTATTAACTTCCGTGCTATGCACTAAATTTTATGCACTGTAACAGGCATGTAATACCACGAATATAAATGTGAAAATGTAAGTCCTTGTTTGAGAACAAGTTTTTTCAAACTTGACACAAATAATGTCATGACCAGAAGATAGCGTTCTCAACAAAACACTAATTTTTTTAATTAATTCAACGTCTAATCCTGTAATCTCTCCGCTCTTTTCTGGATTTCTCTGCTATGATGAGTCAACTGACGACTCAAGTGATGAGAGTTTGGTGGATATAAACGACGAGTTTTTTGATAACTAAATATAAAACTTATTGTATAATATTATGCATCCTTGTTTAATAAATATATATATTTTTTTTCACTTCATTTTTTTATTATAACAGTGGTTGTTGTAATGAGGGGGAGGGGGTTGTAGGCGAGGGGTTTTCCCTCTATCCTGCGCAAATAAAACTCTGAAGTTATTAAAACCAAGGTAATTATTCAATAAAACAACAAAATATTATTTATTACAACCTTTCATGACTAGAACAATGGAATTCGTAAACAAAATATTTTTGTCCAGCTAGATTGTATGAAACAATTCACTGTGCGTCGATTTGAAATACACGTCGCACTATAACGATTTAATGCATTAAACAATGGAAGTACTATATTGTTTATAATAGTGCCTAGTACACTTGGAGCCTACATAATAATAACTAATAACTTTTGG